TGCCAGCTTTTCGGTGGATGGTGAAGGTGATCAGCTCGTGGTCGCTGTCACCCAGCTTCCCATCGATCACTAGGTCGCCGACTAGGTCATCCCCAGTAGCCAGTACCAGGTCGAGCAGCGCTTTGCCTCTCATTGGCCCATAGACTTCTTGAGTCAGGTAGAGGTCATCCGCGCACGAGAGGAAGCTTTGCGACCGCTCAGATTTTGCTGAGCGATCCTCCCATGAGATGTCCGGGTAATTGAAGTCACCCATGACAACCATGGTCCTGGAGCATGCTGCCTCAGCCAGTTCCCGGGCAAACTCCTGGTCAAGCTCAGGACTTTGGGTGGGAGGTGTGTAATAGATTCCCACCATTGTGTCCCCTGTGCCGTGTTCCCCACGGATTTTAACCCAGAGGGTCTCCAGTCGTCCACCCTGGTCACCAATATCGGCTTGCAGGGACATGTTACTTTCCTTAACATAGAGAGCTACACCCCCGCCCCTTTTATCTACACGATCCCTCCTGTACAGGGTATAGCCATCTATACCCGTGGTTCAGTCATGGGTGGAGTCCCACCAGGTCTCCATTATCCCTATGACATCATAATTGTTTGCACTCAGCAGGAGGATGAGCTCCTCCTGCTTATTCCCCAAGCTCCTGGCATTTGTGTACAGATTCCCCAAGCTCCTGGCATTTGTGTACAGAACTCCTGGCATTTGTGTACAGATGTATTGTGTCTGCTTCTTTCCTGGTGGATACAAGAAATGAGGAAACAGCTACCAGTGAGAGGTAGAGAAGCCAACTGCAAACATTCAGATCTTTTAAAAAATTACAGAATTGGCTTAAAGATGATGATTTTTAAATATGAAGTATTTAAATTGCAAATATCCAGTTTTAGAGCTTTTTAAGTGAACTGGTTTTACATTTTCAAACTCTTTTCTGTAACTGCAACAGATAGAATCTTTATCTTTTAACATGGATGCTGAGATTGTCATACAATACAGTTCTAGCTGGAGTTTAAACCACTGAAAAAAATCATTCACAAGAATTGACAGCACACGCGTAATAAGCTGGTGGGGTTATATGGTGGTGGTGGAGTTGGAGAGGAAGGGACGTTTCAGTACTAACCTAAAGGACCCTGGACCAATGCTCTGCATCTCAACTTCTAGTGAGATGCTTTGAATGCCTGGTCAGACCCTGACACCTTCCCCTCTCCTGCCTCTCAACAAGACTTCCTATATCACAGTCAGATTCCCAATCCCTTTCTAGAGGGACAGCAGCCACCAGTTCCTTCTTATCAATTTATGGATAATAAGTGCATAATAACATAATGAAAATACCCAGTTGAATATTGTAGTGCCCTAGATACCTCAGTATATAGTAGGGGTGGGTAAAATACAGCTCACAGTCCATATCCTGCATGCCAGTTGATCCTATCTGGCCAACCAGCAACCACTGGGAGCCCGAGGAAGGAGGGCTGTGCCCTGTGCTGCTCTACACTAGCACAACCAAGGCCAGGCCAGGCCTTGTAGTGCACAGACTCCTTCAGCCCCCACTCCTGGTTTCCTGTTAGCACTGAAGCTGTGCAGCCTTGGCACTGTGGCCACTGCCAACCTGCTTGCCTACCTGCTGCACTGAGCTGCTGCCACTGCTGCACCA